ACACTGTGTTATTGCTGCACAGTTTCTTACTCTGCAGTAAAAAGGGAACACGCTCAAGCTCAGCATTCCTTTATGAATTAAACAAAAGCATGGTGGGGAGTTGGGGGTGGGGGCAATAGTTTGTTCAATTCACAGAGAAACCTCAAATAAGTGGAGTCAACTAATCAGCACCTTTTTTGGTACACCGCGTAAACTGCTGCACTCAGACAATTTGGCATTCTTGTGCCTGTGCTGGTGGGTGTGAGATAAAAAGCTTCCACAGCATGTCTCCTTTTTCGGGAATACTGGAGTTAATGTTATATCAAGGAAGGGTCATTCCGTGAAATCTTAACGCTGTGTAACTTGTTGGAAAACCTGACAGATTTTGGCCTGACCTGCACAGCATTTCCAACACTGTCTCTTTGCATTTGGCCTGCAGAGTTTCCACTCTTCAATTTAAAAAGTAAAAGTATTTACAGCACCACAAAATGTTCCGGAGTAGAATAGAATAGAATATCCTTTATTGTCACTTGTACTCCAGTACAGGAGTACAGTGAAAAGTTTTTACAATGGCTGCCTGTTAATGGCGCCATCTTAGGTACAAATCTTACAAGGTTAAAAAAAAATGCTGTTATACAAAAGAGGATTAAAAGGAGAGCAGAAGCATCACTTAGTGTCTGAGAATGAGTTAGGAATGAGGTAGTTATAATTTGAATCCTTTTCAAAATGTTACAGTCCGGTAAAGAATTCCAAACAGCAGCATCTCAACATGTTTGGCGCCAGACCACAGTCCAGCAACTGTCCTGCATCGCTCTAGCCTCCGGACCGCTCCTCACCAGCACTTTGCAGCCACAAGGTAAGTCGTGCAGGACTGGGATTTGCTTCACCTCGTGCCGCTCCAGGGCCCGGGGGCTCCCCACGTGCCGTTGCTCTGGGACTTGGGCCGGCCCGCGCTCGTTCTGCTGCTGTTGCTCCGGGATACGGCCCGCGCGCACTTACCTCCCGCCCAGTCTCCAATCACAACTCCAGGTAGGAGTAGTTGAAAGTTTGAGGGGTGGGGGAGGTGGGAAGAAACAAAATACTGCAAGGAGGGGGGAAAGAAAAAACAGAAAGGTAAAGGAAAAGGAACTGGTGAGCACCCCCCCCGATATTCAACTGGTGGTGGCCATTCGGCCCTTTACATCTGCTGGGCTGCTCAGTAAGATCATGGCTGATCTTCTGCCAGAAGTCCACTTCCTGATGATCCCCATGTTCCTTAATTGTTGTGGTACCTAAAAATATATCAATCCCTGATTTAAATATGATCAATGACAGCTCTTTGGGGTAGTGCTGCACTATCAGGAGGTTCAGCTTTTCAGATGAAAGGTTAATCTAAGGCACTATGTGCCCCCTTGAATGGACGCAACAAATCCAGTGCCTTACTCAAAATTAGGCAATCCAGCTGTTTCTGGGATCCTGCTGTGTACAAAGTGGCACCTTCGACCATGAGATATAGGGGCAGAATTAGGCCACTTTAGTTCATCAAGTCTACTCCATCATTCAATCATTTCTGATAAGTTTCTCAACCCCATTTTCCTGACTTCATCCTGTAACCCTGACTAATCAAGAACCAATCCATCTCTGTCCTCAATGACTTGGTCTCCTCAGCCCTCTGCAGCAACGAGTTTCCCAGATTCTCCACCCTCAGGCTGGAGAAATTCCTCCTTATCTCAGTTCTAAAGAGTTGTTCCTTTACTCTGAGGCTATGCCATTTGGTTTAATGTGAGGTGTTGCATTTTGGTAAAACAAACAAGGGTGGAACGAATACAATTAAAAGTAGGGCCTTGGGCAGTGTTATAGAACACAGACCTAGGGGTTCAGGTACATAATTCTTTTAAATTTGCATCACATATACATAGGGTGGTTAAGAAGGTGTTGAGCATGCTTGCCTTCATTGCTCAGTCCTTTGAGTATAGAAATTGGGACATCATGTTGAGGTTGTATAAGATGTTGGTGAGGCCTGTTCTGGAGCACTGTGTCCAGGTCTCCCCATTATAGGAAGGACATTATAAAGCTGGACAGGGTTCAGAAAAGATTTTTCAGGATGTTGCCAGGAATGGAAGGTTTGAATTATTGGGAGAGGCTGGAACTTTTTTCAGTGGAGCGTAGGAGATTGAAGGATGACCTATAGAGGTTTATAAAATCATGAGGGGCATGGATAAGTTGAATGGTGCATTTCAAAACTAGGAACGTATCTTTCAGGTGAAAGGAGAAAAATTTAAAAAAGATATGAGGGGCTTTTTTTTTTTAAACACAGAGCATGGTTCATGTGTGAAATGAAATTCCAGAGGAATTAGTGGATGCGGGTAGAGTTACAATGTTTAAAAGACATTTGCATAAGAACATGAATAAGAAAAGTTTCAGGGGATGTGGGCCAGGAGCAGGCAGGTGGGACTAGTTTAGTTTGGGATTATGGTTGGCATGGACTGGTTGGACCGAAGGGTCTGTTTCTGTTCTGTATGACTCTATGATTGTCCTATTTGTGGAAATGTCTTCTCCATGTCTACTCTATCCAGGCCTCGCAGTATTCTGTTGGTTTCTGTGAGTTCCCCCCACATCCTTCTAAACTTCCTTAAGTACAGGCCCAGAGTCCTCAAACACTCCTCATATGACAAACACTTCATCCCCAGAATAATTCCTGTAAACTTCTTCTGGACACCCTGTAAAGTCAGCACATCCTTCTTTAGAAATGGGGCCTAAAACCGCTCACAATATTCCAAAGCCTTGGCAGTACATCTCTACTCTAGCTCTCGAAATGAATGCTAACATTGTATTTGCCTTCCTAACTGCCAACTAAACCTGCATGTTAACCTTAAGAGAATCCCAACTGTACAATGTAAACTTAAAACTAAAATAAGACCTGGCTGCTTGTGAAGTGTTTTGGGACATCCAGATGTAGTTTGTAAGTGCTGTAAAAATCAAGTATTCCATGCCGCACATTATCCAAACAATGAATCAAAGAGAGGTGAAAGCTGCCATAGCCCCAGAGGACCTAGTTCTTATAAGGTGCTCTCTCATCAGAGATAGACGGTTGGTCCCGGGGGTCACCATGTCTCAGACGAGGGGGGTGAGGTTGTGAAGGTGGGCCTTTTGGCTGATACCGAAATTGAACCCACGCTGTTGACATCGCTATGCATCGCAAACGTGCTAACTGAGCTAACCAACTCCAAGACAGATAGTGACCACCCATTTATTAAATATACATTATGTATTTTCTTTAAAAATAAAGAAAAAAAAACACTCATGCTGACACATGGGCTTGCTGTTCAAATGATCCAGTGACATCTCACCCAATGAGCTTAAAAAGAGAGACAGCCAATTGTTCATCAGCATTTCACACCTGGGCCCGGAAAAACCTTACTGAGAAAAAAAAGGCACGTTTTGCTGAGGCTTTTTTTTTGTAACTGTGGCTTTGAGCAAATAATCAGATGAAGTGGATGCGGAATTTGGGATGGAGTTGTCGGAAGTTGCTGCTCTGATGCAACCAGTTTCCTCTGCACCTGGTTTAAATTTAAACAAGTCTTGGCAGTTAACTATCAGTCGACCATTTTGTTGGTGCATTCTCCAAGGCAACACCTCCACCAGAGTCCACTTGCCAATCAATCAGCACTCTTATTTTTCCCCTAAAGTAGCACAGAAGTGTCAAACCCCGCCCCTTAAACTGGCATTCTTGTGAACTGTCCTGATGAGCGAAAGAAGGAAAGCTTCAACACCATAGCTTTTTCTCAGCAGTGCTCAGGGGCTCTGTAACACCAAACGAGCATTCATATACCACAAACAGATAAGACCATGTTGCGGCAGCACCTAGTCATAAAACGTTACACAAAAAGAATGTCCACAGACAGTTGTCTCCAAACCTGGGTCAATCCTGGTGCAACGTGATCGGGGCTATTTACATTGCTGCATTTTAACCAGCTGCTGATCTGCCTGGTTAAAATACCTGGTGTAGACCTGGTCGAACATATCCTTGCAAGGAATGAAGGCATGCAGACGGGAGCAGATGAGGAAGGAGCCAGCCATTTTGCGATGGAGGGAGTAGGATTCCTCAGGGGGAGGAGTCAGACGGTGCTTCAGCATCACTGGGATCAGGCTCTGGATCCGCCGGGTGGTGTCCTGACTCCCAAAGTCAAAGGATTCTGGCTGAGCAAATGCCTTTCCAAGGGTCATGACCGCGTCAATGTGAGCATCCTCAAACACCTGAAAACAACACAGCAAACCGGTTTCATCAGGACAGTCAGAGGCATAGTAACTCAAGTACAGCCACCACGATGGGGACCATGTACCAGGTGCAGGTGCAGAAGCAGAGCAATAAATTGCCATGCCTCAGCAATTCACACATCCAGTCACCCACACTAGGGCACTGATCACATTCCCCACCCCACTTCACTGCTACCCGAAACGTCCCTGAAAACTCAATGCCATCAAGAACAAAGCAGCCCATCAGACTGGCATCACATCCACCACAACCAACGCAGATTGGGGGCAGTGTCTACCATCTACAAGATGCACTGCAGCAACTCACTAGGCTTTTTAGACAGCACCTTCCAAACCTGCAATCCCCACACTTTTAACAGGATGATGGTAGCAGATACAGAGGAACACCACATCCTGGAGGGGCAGCACGGTGGCTCAGTGGTTAGCACTGCTGCCTCACAGCGCCAGGGACCCGGGTTCAATTCCACCCTTAGGCGACTGTCTGTGCGGGGTTTGCACATTCTCCCCGTGTCTGCGTGGATTTCCTCTGGGTGCTCCATGTTTCCTCCCACAGCCCAAAGATGTGCAGGGTAGGTGGATTGGCTATGCTAGATTGTCCAGGGATGTTTTGATTAGGTGGGTTAGACGTGTGAAATACAGGGGTAGGGGAATGGGTCTGGATGGGATGTTCTTCAGAGGGGCGGTATGGACTTGTTGGGCCGAATGGCCAGTTTCCACACTGTTGGGACTCTATGACCACCCCCTGCAAGCTCCCCTCCAAGCCCCTCACCATCCTGACTTGGAAATATAGGGCTTTTCTTTAAGTGTCACTGGGTCACTCCCCTCAGTGCAGCATTTCAAGAAATGTCTTCACCCAGAGAGTGGCGGAGTCTGTGGAATTCTTTGCTATAGAAAACAGTTGAGGCCAAAACTTTCAAGGAGGAGTTAGATATAGTTGTCAGGGCTAAACGGATCAAAGGGTACGGGAGAGAAAGTGGGAACAGGGAACTGAGTTGGACGATCAGCCACGATCATATCGAATGGCAGAGCAGGCTGGAGGGGCCGAATGGCCTACTGCTGCTCCTAGTTTCCATGCTTCAATGCAAGAAGGCAGATCACTGCTGCTTTCTCAAGAGCAATCAAGGGTAGGCAACAAACGCTGCCCACATCCTGTGAAATAATCATTTTTAAAAAGTAACAAATTAAAACACAGGAGGTGGCTAATTAGCCTGCTGAAATGGTTCCACCATTCAATGAGATCACGCTTGATTTGTATCTCAACTCAACCTAACAAACATTTGTCAAACTCAGCTCTGAAATTTTCAATTAATCTCTTGTGCAGCCTCAACCGACCTTTTAAGGGAGGGAGTGCACGATATCTACCCTAATGTTTTCTTCTTCTGCGTGGACCTCCATGGTCCGTGCACAGCGCAGAATCAGAAGTCAATGCTGCGTCAGTGTCAACACGTCGTGCGCAGAACCTTTGAAGGAACGTTAGTCCTGTGTGGGAGGCAGTTCTTCCTGATAATCGCCCCCTGAGGGGCCCTGCTGGAGTCTGAAGGTTCCGCACTCCCCAGCGGATAAGCGCGGGACTTGCCTTGGTCTCGTAGCCAGTGAGGAACTTCAAATCTCGGGACTTCTGTAAGACTTTGTCTCTGTTGCCATCAGCAGCTGCTCGGACGACCTGCATGAGAAGGTACCACGCATCAGAGCATGAGGGTGCAAGGAAGAAATTAAAAGCGGCAACGATTGTTTCTGAAAGCTGAAAGCAGTGCCGAGGCTCACCACTGACCGGCACATGGCCCAGATCCAAGACTTTTCTGGCAACGAGGATGGGATTCAGGAAAACGTTTAAGAGAAGGAAAAAGCAACCTGATACTCTGGAGACATTCTGTATTCCAGGGTGGAAAGCGGCAGACTCCGGATTCAGGTCTGTAGCTAATATGTTAACACAATTAGGACCCCTGAAAGGATGGGGGAACGGTTGTAACTGGTAACAGAAAGAACTGGAGGCCAGGTTTCTGCACTGTGCAAGTGCACTGAACCTTGTAGAAGTGTTAACTCATTGTGGTCTGGTTTGAATGCACTTTTGCTTGTTGGCTGCTAAATGTCATCTTGTACAATTTGCGTGTTTTTGTTCCCTAGAGCTCGAGACCTGGGGATACTTTGAAGTTAGTTTGCATTTTGGGAATGTATGGTGATTTGAAAGTGTGTTGTGTGTTTGCATCAGTGTGGGACATGTATGGTTAATGTAATGTCTTTTTAAGAAACCATCAGTGGTTGTGTAAAGCAAAAATCTGCGAAATGTTGATTCATAAGTTCGGTTTGCAAAGCTTGGTACAAATTTACGTTTTGGAATTGGCTCCTTGATGTGTTTGGACTTGGGTAAATTTTAACTTCATAAATTACCATGTTTGGAATTTCATTTTCTGGCCAGAGTGAACTCCCAAATACTGTTTTAACACATGAGTAAATCTTTAATTCCAGATGATAAGATTGACTCATTGTTAATATCCAAGTAATAGGGGCATTGGAATGTTGAAAATGCAAATCTCTGTGGCGGGGAGTTTAGGAAAGACAAACTTAGCAAATGGGTGGGCTTTTCCTTCTTTCAAGGAGGAGGAGAGACAGATGACAGAATTACATGCAGCAGTTTGCACCCCACCCCATTTTTTGAATCCGAAGTAGATTAATAATGAACCCATTCCACTTCATGTGGAATGGATGGAGCTCATTTGTTTTTAAGAAAATGGAAAGCTGAACCCATTTACAGAATTTCAACGTCACAACACAGTAATGGATGAGGCACCCTCAACCCATCAAGCCACTCATCAATAACACATTTCAGTGTTGGGGAAGTACTGTGGAAATATTAAGTGTCAGGAATCTCGAAACCACTGACCCCAGGTAGACTTAAGCAAAAACTATATTAAAATTGACATGCTCTGGTATTCTGAAACATTTGAATGGAATAGTTACCTGAAAATTTAAAGGGATTCTGGGAAATGATAAAGTGCATGCACAAAGTCTCAGTGGTTTCAAAGCATAAAAATGGTTAGTGACTTTAAGGGAGTAAACAGAATATTGAATTTGGACAAATTTACATAGAGATATATCTAGAATGAGTTATCAAGTGACTTTTAAAAAAGTGGGTCACCTCACAGAAAGAACAAATATGTTGTGCCTGAATCAAACAGAAATGTTTGACTTCTGTTTTAAAACATTACAAAATTATGTTCCATAGACTACGAATCTCTACAGATCTCTGGAATTAGATATAGTGGTAACAGTTAAGTTACAAAATTGGAAGAGAACGAAGTAATTAGGGGCGGAGGCTGGTGGCAGAAGACAAAAACACTATTGAATAATGGGATTGAAATGGCACTTGATGTTAAAGTGCATTTTAGTGAAAAGGAAGTTTAGATGACAGCACCAGACTGATAGCTTTCTCTTGATGTTCGAATCCTTGTCTTTCTTTTTAAGCAAAATTGAATTGGTGTTCAAGCCACTATCCGACGCGTTGGGACCGTACTTAGAGAGAGAAGTAAAACCTCAGACCATTTGATAAATTAAGAATGTGTGACATGGTCTTGGGACACCAACGGAAGTGTGCAAAAGTGAATGTTACCTCAGAGGTAACAAACATGAGACAGTTTAAAAAAAACATGCACTAAAGACTCAATCTCAGACACATGTACACCTACTTGACAAAAGGATTAGTGTGGCTTGGAAGAGCACAAAACATAGTTTAAATGATAAGACACTGACACGAAATCCATACAGAAACCGACTTTAAAACAACGAAAGTAGTATTAGGGGAGGTGATGGCCTAGTGGTATTAATGCTGTACTGTTAATCCAGAGACCCAGATAACATTCTGTGGACCTGGGTTTGAATCCTGCTGTGGCAGATGGCGGAATTTGAATTCAATTAAAAATATCTGAAATTAAGAATTTAATGATGACCATGAATCCATTGTTGATTGTCAGGAAAAACCCATCTGGTTCACTAATGCCCTTTAGGGAAGGAAACTGCCTGGTCTGGCCTACATGTGACTCCAGACCAACAGCAATGTGGTTGACTCTGAACTGCCCTCTGGGCAATTAGGGATGGGGCAATAAATGCTGTCTGGTCAACGACACTCTCATCCTGTTAATGAATAAAGAAGCTCTTAAAAAAAATTAGTGAAAGGGATGTAAAATAAAATTACAATCAATCAAAATAAAAAGTGTGATTGGCTATTATGTCAAAATGTTACAGAAATGAAAGATTATGGATTCTGGGAGGAGTGATGGTGGACTGAGTGAAAGGGCCCATCAGATGATATACAGGTTCCCCCATCTCAAGCATCTGTATGACTAAACCAGTAAGGGAAATTATATTGTGTTAGGACTGTTGGTAAATGTGAAAAAGGCTGAGCTAAGACTCAGGGGCTATAGGAATATGCAGTAAGGGAAAATAAAAGATGGGCAGCGTTAAGTGGAGGGTAAAGCCTGATGAATGTTAGAGCAGTATTGTTGATACCATGTATATTGTAGCTCAAAGTGGGTACCTGCATTTGGAGGTAGTTACCACTCAATGATACAATCATTTATAAAATTGGCAAGGAGGGAAACATATTGAAGTGTCCTCAAGATGGATAAAGGAGAAGCGAGCTGGAGAAATTTTGAGTCCATGTATGATGTTATTTTATTGCTATTGGGTTAAGTGATGGGTGGTTGAGGAACTGGAGGAAAAAGAAACACAAATTAAGATTCCTGAATCTGGAATATACTGAACTTTACAGCAAATTATGTCAATAGATTAACTGCGAAAAAAAATGTAGACGATATTCTGGTCCCCTCAGTCAGGTTACATTATTGGAAATGAGAAAAAACCTGTACTGTTAAAGGGATAAGACCAGTCTGACAACTATCTAACTATTGCAGAAACTTTGTAGAAAATTACAATGAATTAGTTGGACGCCTGAAAGACTTTATGAAGGAGGGGCGGGGCTAGCTCAGAGAAAATGGAATGGGGATCTAAGCAAGAAATAGCCTTTGTCAAAAATCAGACAGACACTGGCCTCCACACCAGCACTAGGACTCCCTGACCTGAAAAAGCCCTTTCACCTCTTCTGCAGTGAAAGCAAGGGTAATCAGTCTGCAGTAGCGTTACAGAGACGAGCTCCGGCCTGTAGGATATAACTCAGGTCATAATGGGACAACATTCGTGTGTTCAAGCCATCCAATGTGCTACCTGGGCCCTAACGACATCATCCCCCCGACACAACTAGGGAAGGTGATATTACACTGCCCACATAGTATAGTCCAGCTATTGGATGCTGGCAAACTGAGAGGTGTCATGGGCAGTCGGTGAGCCAAATGGGAAGCCACACTGTTGCCAGGAGACAAGCACGTGAAAATGGTTAGAGATAATAGAGAGAACGCAGCAATGAATGTGAATCAGGAAGGGGAGACAGATGATTGTGTCCCTCTCATGGAGCAGGAAGAGGAGAGACAGGGTCGAGTTAAGGAGGAGTCATTAGAGGGGGCGAAATGTAAAGTACATGCTTGTAGATGGGGCGCGGCAGTAATATGATGATGAGACCCAGACTTGGAATTGGGGGGTGGGGTTTATTCGAAAGGGTAACTTTTGGCAGGGCAAGGGGTAGGAGGATGTCATTCCACTCAGGTAGCTGAACTAAAAGCACTACTGCCCTCCAGCTAGAGAAAGGACAAAGAGTTAACATCTACACAGACAGTAAAAATGCCTTTGGTGTATTCCACAACTACACGACGGCACGGGCAGGATGAGGTGATATTACCCCGAGTGGCAGTACAATTCAACATCAGACCCTAGGCACGTACCCAGTGGCAGCAGTAATTAAAATTAAAACGTACAGAAAGATCCAAACACCAGAATAGAAAGGAACTGACTAACAACCAACTAGTCTGGCATTTTCTTTTCCTTCCTCCCTCCCTCTTGCAGGTTCTGCGGGCCCTCAGCAGGAACGAGATCCTCGACCTCAGAATAGGAGCCGGAATAGATTAAGATGTGTGCATATATGTGGTGTGGTCGCGCAGCGGCTATAATTAAAGATACTACTACCATTAGCGTAAGCATGAAAATGCTAATCCTCTGTGGGTTCCACTCGATTTTGATCCCATCGGAGGCAGACAGGTATGTGGCACAGTTTGCTGGTTCCATCACCACCTGGACTGTACATCAGGGTGGGATATGTTTAAGGGTTGGTCTCCAAAGGCCACTGCAATCGTTAATTTGATAATACACCCTATTGTTGTATTCACATTGGCGATGGTTATTTTCATTGTAGTTTTAATCTTCTAGTGTAGGTTACATATTCTTATTATATGTTCTCGTGTGGCTGTCGTTGATTTACGTCTGCATTTGCAGTTGTAACATGCGCTGTCAAATATCATCGGGGTGGATTGTATAGGATGGGCTGAAAGGCTAAAACTGTTGATGATATTCAACAGCTGCATGACCTTGACTGAGTTCTGTGAAAATTCCTGTACATGCTGCAGATGACACAATCAAAACTTGTTTTGTGTAGTTGCAAGCAGCTTGTTTTCTGTATCTGCTTTTCTGTGCTGGCTGTTTGTTACACTGTTTAAGAGAGAGAGTTTCGTTTGGACTTCACTTTGGGCCAGGATCACAAACGGTGCCAGGAACAAAGCTAAGCCTCCAGACCAGCCATCGATCGAGGGGTCCCCAATGGGCAGGAGGGCGTGAGGCTCACTGTTTTCTTTTCCTGCCTTTTTCAGCTCTTTTTTATTACCTAATCCATGTTCATAGTTCAGTCTTTTATTTTCCCTTTCTTTTCATTTTTGTTTTATTATTACTCATTAAACGTTTATATTTAAGAAAATTGCTGTTGTCGAGTTTTACCAGGATGCTGCCTGGACTGGAGGGCGGGTCTTATGAGGAAAGGTTGAGGGAGCTAGGGCTTTTTTCATTGGAGCGAAGAAGGATGAGAGGTGACTTGATAGAGCTGTACAAGATGATGAGAGGCACAGATACAGGGGATAGTCAGAGACTTTATCCCAGGGCGGAAATGACTAATACGAGGGGGCATAATTTTAAGGTGATTGGAGGAAGGTATAGGGGAGATGTCAGAAGAAGGGTCCAGACCTGAAACATCAGCTTTCCTGCTCCTGTGATGCTGGCCTGCTGTGTTCATCCAGCTCTACACAGTGTTATCTCAGACTCCAGCATCGGCAGTTCCTACTATCTCTTACACAGAGTGTGGTGGGCGTGTGGAATGCGCTGCCGGTGGTGGTAGTGGAGTCAGATACATTAGAGACTTTTAAGCGACTCTTGGACAGGCACATGGATGATAGTAAAATGTAGGGTATGCAGGGTAGATGGATCTTAGTAGGATAATAGGTCGGCACAATATCGTGGGCCGAAGGGCCTGTACTGTGCTGTACGTTCTACGTTCTATGTTCTTCTCTTAACTACTATTGACCGAATCTGAAAAGAGCTGCTTGGATACACCCTGTGATCAGGATCAGTCAATCAACACTGAAGGGGAAAAAAAAAGTGACCTGGTTATGACCACATGCAGGAGCTTGCTGTGAGCAAATTGGTTGAAACTTTACAACAATTTCTATGACTTAGACCTTGGCTCTGCTAATGGAGCCACTAAAACATTTTAGTTGCCAGGCAGAAGGTATTGAAATGTCATATGTACCTCAATGTAGTTGTCCGTGAATTCTTTACCAAACTCTCGACTTGCTCCAAAGTCCAACAATGTCACCTGACAGGCAAGAAACAAAACATAATTCTCACCGGCAATGCTGTGGCAGCACCTTCCAAATCCACCACCTCTACCATCCACAGCCCCATTATAGAAAGGATATTGGTAAACTGGAGAGGGTTCAGAAATGATTAACCAGGATGTTGCCAGGAATGGAGGGCTTGAGATATAAAAAAAAGAGACTGGAAGGGCTGGGACTTTCTTCACTGGAGCGTAGGAGGTTGAGGGGTGGCCTTATTGAGGTTTATAAAATCATGAGGGGGATGGAGAAGGTGAATAGCCAAGGGTCTTTTCCCTAGGGTGGGGGGAGTTCAAAACTAGAGGGCATATTTTCAAGGTGAGAGGAGAAAGATTTTAAAAGGATAGGAGGGCAACATTTTTTTTTAAACACAGAGAGTGGTTAGTGTGTGGAATGAACTGCCAGAGGAAGTGATGGATGCAGGTACAGTTACGTTTAAAAGAAATTTGGATAAGTACATGAAAAGGAAAGCTGTGGAGGGGTATGGGCCAAATGAAGGCAGGTGGGACTAGTTTAGTTTGGGAACAAGATCAGCGTGGCTTGGCTAGACCAAACGGTCTGTTTCCATGCTGTTTGACTTTTTGACTCTAAGTACACAGGCAGCAGATGTATATGAACGCCACCCCCTGCAAGATCCCCTCCAAGCCATGCACCATCCTGACCTGGAAATATCTCGGTGTTCCTGTAGCGTCGCTGCGTCATTATCCTGGAATTCCCTCCCTAACAGCATTGCCTGTCCCCACACCACACAGACAGCAGAGACTCAAGACAACTCCCTGCCAATGCTCTTCCTAAGACACAGAACCACTTGGAGGATCAGTACAGACCGAACAGGATGGCGATTGCACCAGTTCAAGAATGAGAAGCACTAAACTACTCAGCCCTTGAAGTGTGCTCTGCCATTCAGTGCAGGCGCAGACGATTTTTTTGAATTTCCAAATTCCACATTCCCCAAAGTCTGCGATTCCCCTGTCTGACTAAAATCTATCTACTGCTACCTTAAATATATTGACTGACCCTGCCAGCCCTGCCTCCACTGCTGTGTGAGGGGTTCCAAAGTTTGGCCAACTCTGGAGAGAAAAAAAAATTCCCCTTATTTCTGTCTTAAACGGGTGACCCCCTAATATGAAACTACTGCCCTCGATGTGGACTGAAAAGGGAGAAAAAATGTATCAAAATGTTGGGGGGGTTGCATGAGGGCGGGGAAGGGGCGTGAGGGAGGACGGGGAAGGGGCGTGAGGGAGGACGGGG